TAGAACTCAATGATTATCCTAATTATATTTTAGATTTTTTATATTTAAAATGAGATGTTTATATATCCTGTATTTGATTGTGTTTATCTGCAGTTAGTTACACGAATTCAGTTATGGGATGAAATCGGATAGGGGTGAAATTGTTTGGGGATGAACGGGTTTAAGAGTTTTAAGAGTTTAAGAGTTTTTAAGAGTTTTAGCCAAATACTTTATAATGTAGTATAGATATATAATACTTATATATATAAATTCAATATATGATTTAGTAATTCATTTAATATAATTTTATAATCAACCAATTATAAATTATTCGAAGCAGCTCATAAAAGCAATCAAATGTTAGTTACAAAAAATCAATATAATGAGTAACTTTATGACGGGTGTCGAGTCCGGCAAATAATATAATTTATAAAAATAAGTTTATTATCTCTAAAACACACTTGTGATAGCGATAAGTTGGGTGGTCTCCTCAGGGACTCGGTGTTAACCGTAAGTCCAAGACGTAACAGCGTGCAAATTCATTGAAAATAATATGCATATATATATATATATATATATATGGGGGGGGGGGGGGTTGGATGATTTATAAAAAGCCTAAAAAAATACAAAATAAATTGAGAACTTTAAACAATAACAAATAAATTCTAATGATGAGTATAACTAGTTCTTTATCAAATCATGTATCATTGACTTGTATAAAAACATTTTCTCAATAGATTTTAGACCGGTCGTGAGTGTCGGCACGTGCCAAACACTCCGCTTGTCTTTATAATTAAACTAGCACGAGAAGCTCGGTAGACTAGTTCCTAATTGATTAAGTTGATTCTAGTCACGGACGTARAATTCAACCTACCAATTGCCTTACGCAATAAACAAGCACCAATCCTAACTAATGAACGGAAACCCGAACATTTAAGCTAGATTACACAGTCCTATAATGCAAATCAATGAACTTGGTTATCTATTGATRCACTATTTGCTACCAARTGRAAATTAAGAACAATTACRGATTCCTAATCACAACTAGCAATTCAAATTTAGGCTAAAGGATTCAARGGATCCTTCTCAAAACCAAAATCCCAAACATGAACAACGGTTCTGAACAAGAATTGTGCAAATAAAATTCAATTAAGTTTCAATGTTAAACAAGTCTCAACAAAGTTCAATGCAAACTAACTATAATCTCATCACTAGAATCAGAAAATCAGCAACTCATAACTCTATTTTAAACAGAAATTGAACTTACAGATGGTAGAAAGCACTAGAGTATAAAGAACTGAAATTGAGAAATCCAAAATCGACTCCAAAAATTCTGAAAATCTGTTTACTGCATCCTCTCAATTTCTGCTTCTCATCGATTCTGACTTCTGCTTCTTTTTACTCTCCGACTTCTCCAATCGAAACAGCCTGCTGCTTTCTACCCGTCCTCTCGATTTTCTGCTTCCCCCAGAAAATCCTCTCAATCGACAGCTTCAAAACCTTCTTGACAGATTCTGGGTCTTGTCTCTCAATCGACAGTTTCCTCTTTTGATTTCTGCCTCTCTCGGTTTCTGTCTTTACTGCTCTCGATCGACCCCCTCACTTTGCTGTCCCTCTCGACCCTTTTCGATTTCTGCCCCTCGCTACCTGGCTCCAATCGAACAGCCTTTAAGCACACCTCCATCTCTTGTCGCTGCCCACGATCTCCCGTCTCTACCCACGTTTGGCTGCTGCACAATCTCCCGATTTCTCTCTCGCTGACCACGTCTCCCTCGTCTCTCTCTCTCGATCAATTTCTGGTCTGGGCAGCAGCCCTGTTCCTTCTTCTTTTTCTTTTCACGGGCTACTGTTTGGGCTTCTTTTGGGCTGTGCAGCAAGGCTGTTTGGAAACAGCATGGCTGTTTGGATACAGCTGCTATTTCTCCTGCTGTTTGGTTGCAGCTGCAGGGCTGTTTGGAGACAGCTTATGTGCTGTTTGGCTGCTGTTTGGCTGCTGTTTGGACCATAAAACAACTAATCAAATTTTTTTTCTTTTCAACTTAAATAGCCTCAAGAAGTTAAATTAACTTAAATTAAATGACCCCTTTTAAACATGTATTTGTATAAATTTGGACTTATCACTTAATTAACAACTTGTATTAATTAAATTATATTGTTTTATTAACCTAAGAAATTATAATTTATAATAATAATATAAATATAAATTAATTTAACCACTCGGCCGGCTACCAATTACAACTAGGAAACAAGTTCTTAATGTTCGCCGCCAACATACATGAATAAAGGATTAATTTAGGACAGGTCGATATTACACATTCGTCGTGACTCCAACATGAATGCATGGAAAAAGCAGCAATTAATAGCAGAGAGCCTAAATTAATTAATTAATTAAGTATTTATACCCATCTTCAATCTTCATATCTAAATACACCGACCTTCAATTCATTCAACAATGGCGGAAACACCAGAATCTGAGCATCCAATCAAGGCCTATGGTTATGCTGCTCACGACACTTCTGGAACACTTTCACCTTTCACCTTCTACAGAAGGTATCTTGATCATTTCTCTCAAACCCAATACTAAATTAACAAGCTTTTTTCAGATTTTCGTTCATGATCGATCGTGATTATTATATATATGATGTATAATTGGATTTTGTTGTTAACTAGGGCTACAGGTGAAAAAGACGTGAGACTCAAAGTTCTGTATTGCGGAATCTGCCATACTGATGTTCGCTTCGTGAATAATGACTGGGGGGTAACAACATACCCCGTTACACCAGGGTACACATCCAAACACCCATTTCTTAATTTATATTAATTTTTTAATTTTGATTCATAAAATGATAATTACATAATGCATGCATTCATGCATGCAGACATGAGATTGTGGGTGTGGTGACAGAAGTTGGCACCAAAGTGGAGAAATTCAAGATCGGAGACAGAGTTGGTGTTGGATGCTTGGTGGGATCATGCGGATCATGCGAAAACTGTGCTGATGATCTTGAAAACTACTGCCCAAAACAGATTCTCACTTATGGTTTTCCCTACCATGATGGCACACAGACATACGGTGGCTACTCCGATCACATGGTTGCAGATGAGCATTTTGTTCTCCGCTGGCCGGAGAATTTGCCACTAGATTCCGGTGCGCCGCTTTTATGTGATGGGATCACAGCGTACAGTCCTCTCAAGTACTTTGGACTAGACAAGCCTGGTATGAAGGTGGGTGTGTTTGGTCTGGGTGCACTTGGCCAAATTGCTGTGAAGATGGCCAAGGCTTTTGGAGCACAAGTTACTGTTTTCAGCACCAACACTGCTAAGAAACAAGAAGCCATTGAAGGACTGAAAGCTGACCATTTCATAAACAGCGAAGACCCCGAACAGATGGCAGTGAGCGAACTAGCCTTTTTTATTTCATTATAATTGATTTGGAGTTGGATGGCTAATTACTAGTGAATTAGGGTGCTACGGGGACGCTTGATGGTATCATCTATACGGTTTCTGCAACTCATGAAATTGCATCGTTGCTTAATGCACTCAAACCCCATGGAAAGCTTGTTATTATTGGTTCACCCGAGAAGCCATTTGAACTACCATCATATTCTTTGCTTACTGGTAATCGATCATTGTGTTTTGCTTTTAGGGTTTGAAACTTGATGAAATCGACTGAGTATTTAAATGGGGTTTTGACAGGAAGGAAGACTGTTGCTGGTAGTTTGATCGGAGGGTTAAAAGAGACTCAAGAGATGCTTGATTTTGCTGCAAAACATGGCGTAACTGCAGATATAGAGATTATTCCGATCGATTACGTCAACACTGCCATGGATCGGATGAAGAGGCTCCATGAAGGAAACCAATTTGTGATCGATATCGCCAATTCAATCAATGCCGAATAGGGTGATACTTTAAGGTCTTGATGAATTAATGTTCTTTTCATAGATCTTTTACATATTTGTGACCATGTACCTTGCAATAATATGAGGTTCGAGTTGTATGCAGATCGGTTATCCTGTTCTTTTTCAAATGAAATTGTTTGTTCAAAAATGAGATGTAAGTGGGTAGAAGTCACCACCATCACTTAATTATGATGTAAGATTCTCGACCATCAAAATGACATAGTAAATTTGTTGGTGAAAATGTCTCTTATCCAATAAGGCGTTAACCGTGTAAAAGTCATCACCCTGACTACCATGTAAGGGGTTGTTTGTTTGCCTCTTAATAGTTTCATTAAAAGACAAAATCTGAATCATTAAGAGGTGAATCTTGTTTGACAAAAAAAGTCTGTCTTTAATGGTTCTAAAACCCTTGGAATGATTTTGTATCATATGTCTCCCTTAACCATTCAACGCCTAATTTCATTGTAAACAATTACCAAACAATTATATTTCATTTTGCACTATATCATGAGAGTCTCTTAATCATTCTGACAACTTAATTATTCTGCACCAAATCATTCAACAACTCCCAAACAATCCATCTGTTCTTATCATATCTCTTATTAATTAAGATTCTCGGTTTTTGTCATGCATATATATTGTAAGATAAATGTTTACCTTAGCAATTGATAGGCTATCCCGTAGTCATTTAAAAAGTTTGATGTTATAATTGAATTTACCAAAAAGAATAAATTAAACAAATTTACGAGAGTTTCACGATTTCAGCAGAAGAAAATAGGGTTTTAACTCAAGTCATGAAGATTATACATATATATGCAATTAAAATTTTAAATTATATATATACATATATATAGAGAGGGGAACGATCAAATGCAAATTATCCAATTTGTACAAACCGTTCAAACCACCCTCATCCGTCAATTTCATTGTTTAATTAATCTTATGAAAAAATTTCATGAAATTTTTTAATCTTGTGAAATTGTTTCATATAATACTTTTTTGATGAAGTTGTTTTATAAATGATTATGAAATTATTTTATAAAATACCTAATGAAATTTTAATGAAACTGGTTCATGTATTTCTCTAAAATTAAAATAATGAAGATGATAATATACAAAAAAAAATGAAAAATTATGATCGGTTGAATGAGGTTTATATTATACAAATAACGTGGTTTTAAAAGTAAACTTCTACTCTCTCTCTTTCTCTCTCTCTCTCTCTTTATATATATATATGAAAGAGAGGTTCACATGAAAAGTCGGTCATTAATTTACAAGAAATGCGTAAATAACCAAATCGCATGTAACATAATATGTCTAGAAGGACATCTACTGATGCACAATTGGTTTTCTTATCATAACATAAAATCTCTTTTTTATTACATCTCTTATAATATCTTTTGAAAAATTTCTTATCATAAAGACTAATTATATTTATATGTTATATATATACTCATTAGGTTCGTTATTATTATAATATTATACATACACACATATATTTATATACTATACGTAAAAATTTACTAATAGATACTCGGGGTTGGGATCGGATTTGAGGGATATCCCATCCCCGACTCAATTGTCGGTTAACAAAGTCAGGGATTCCCTGTCCCCATCCCAGGTCAACTCGAGGACTGGGTTCGAATATCGAGTTCCCCATTGGGTAAGGGGCTTTTTGCATCCCTACATCCAACCACGGAATGAAAAGTAAGTAAATGAAAAGAAATTAAATCACACCGATAAATTTCTAAGTGATAAATACATACATGTTAAGATTCAATAGTGTTCTCTCTTTCATAGTTAAGACTTAGCTTTGTACGAGAATAATAACCAGATAAAAAATATATATAAGAAAATAATCGAATCACGTGCAATTTTCCACTAAAATCACATGTGATTCACACGACTTTGACTGCGGCCTGAAGTCACGGACCACGTTGCCCACACTTTTTACGTTGACCGTTAACGTCAAAAATATTGTTCGTATTAAGGATACTTTTTAACACCAAATAGCATTATAAAATTGTCATCGATTTGCTGTTTTCATGATAATTCGTAATTCTGTAAGGATTTATCAATAATTTTGTGTTTACGTTCACCCAATTATTCTTTTTATTATAGTTTGATTTATGGTCTTAAGTAATTCACTAATTTTTAAAACAATATAAGTATGTCTCGTCATTTAAAAAAATTATTATTGCTTTTTTATTTTGTCCTCGTTTATTGGCCGCACCTAATTACCTTACAACATTACACGTATATATTTATAAAATAAAATAAAAACCTTTTATCATTTTTATTCTCTACTACAAACATGGCGGTGAATGACGATGACCGTAGTAAAAGACGACACCAACACCACCACTAGTGGCGGATCTAGGAAATTAATGAGGTGGGGGCACCTTGGATAAGATTTGGGGGAGGCAAACATATGACTATATGAGACCGGGAAGAAACCATATAAGACAGAGATAAAAATAGAAAATTTAAGTTAGTCAACAAACGTTTTTTATTTTTAACTGGGGACATTTCCCCTCGATCCTTATATAAGGGCTAGATCTGCTCTGATCACCACCACCACCATTTATAGTTGTTGGGCGTAAGAAACTCACTATCAAATCAAATATTATAATGTAAAAAAGTATAAAAAATCATCTATACAAATCAAATTACAAAATCAAGCCAAAATAACACACGAATCTAGATTCAAACCCTAAGCTCGATTTTATGAACAAGAAATTTTGAACCAACGTACAATCAATGCTCAAATGGAAAAAAAAAACTGAAAACTCAAAACGAAAATCTCGAATATGTTCTATCATTTCTCTAATCGAATGAGCCGTTCAAGATCGTAATAGATTTAAAATATGAACCATCATTGAATATAAGTTCACATGTTTTTTGTTCACATCAATATGTAAAAATATGTTATTTCATCAGTGCAAGGTCATATGTTACGGTTCTCATGGTTTCTCATGATTTCAACGGGTTCAAAGGGGTTCTCTTGGATTTAATTGGTTCCATAGTATTCTCATGGTGTCAACCGGTTACATTACAAAACAATTGACTTTTATCTACAAAACTCAATTATCGACGGATCATCCAGAAAATACCAATAGTTGCGATATATAGAATTCGATGTTTTTCAAGAAAATATCAATGGATTACTCATAAAATACTTTGATAACCTGTCACTGATTTGAGTTTCTCGCCAACAATTTATCCAACTTCTTTGACGGTAATCCATTTTAGTAGTGTTAGTTTTCTTGGATTTAATAGTTCGACATGTCATGGATTCGATCTACACATCCCTAATAACTACAAACAAAGATAATAATTACAAGTTGGCACCGGAAAAGTCTTAAACAAGCATATGTCGGACAAAAAGTATACAACATTTATTTAATATATATATAATGTAGTAAAAAAAATTAATTACACATCAAAATCTGAATTTTAAAATTCCATAATTCATAGTAATCGCTAGAAAATAACTTTTATAGCACAATAAGTCTCATATCTATCTTCAAATAATTGTCTATGAGCAAATATGTATGTATTTAATAAAAACTTGTTTCTCTTGATAAAAATAACAAAAAGAACTGAAGTTTAAGTATAATATTTAAACGGAAACTGAGAAAACCTGAATTCAAGAATTTTTTATTACTCAAATAAATATTATATTCTATCATTTAATTAATACATGCATTGACAAAAAAACATGGATAATTGTTGATTCAAACTCGTATATTTTTTTACATCAATATGTTATTTCGTTTGTGCAAATATTATGTCACGAATTCTCGTGAATTCAAGTGGTTTAACAAGGTTATCATGGATCTAATTATAGGTTCACATGTTCGGGGATTGGATCTACACATCCCTAATAACCAAAAGTAACGATAATATAAGTTAACCATAAGAATGGTGTCTGATTGGTTTGAGTTTGGTTCCAAATGTTAAAAGTACCTGGAGGTCTCAGGTTCAAATCCAAGGAGGAATAAAAATTCCCTTGTTACACATTGGTTCAAATGCGATGAGTCTGGGTTATTTGCAGAGCAGGTGGTCATCCTAAGATTAGTCGGCTCGAGATATTCAGGTTAATTAAAAAAATATATATATAACGTAAAACTCATACATGTTTTGTAAAATTGGAAATATGTGAGTTATAAGTTTCTAAAACCCAAAATAAAAATAAAAACTGTATTTTGTTAATAAAAAATTTAGTTGGTTAGCTAGCTAGCTACGAATTTAAGTTCAAAAAAACCAAGTAGTTAACGGAGGCAGCCGAAATATGAATAAAGGAGATGATAAATTCGTGGTTCTAGCGTGAATACATAGAAAAGGCAACATCCTCCGCTACCTCTTCTCTTAATTAATTTGCCTATTTATACCCATCATCAACCTTCATTTCTGAACACACTCAATTAATTAGCTTTGATTCTTTCAACAATGGCGAAATCACCAGAATCTGAGCATCCAGTTAAGGCTTATGGATACGCGGCTCACGACAATACTGGAACACTTTCCCCTCTCACCTTCTCCAGAAGGTATTTATATCATGATTCAGTCGTTTCAGTGTTGATGATTACGATATAATCGGATGTTAATGATAATGAATTAATTATGATGATGATGATGATGGTGATATATATATATATATATATATATATGTACAGGGCTACTGGGGAAAAAGATGTGAGACTCAAAGTTCTGTATTGCGGAATCTGCCATACTGATCTTCACTTCGTCAAGAATGAATGGGGGGTAACAACATACCCCGTTACACCAGGGTACACATCCAAACACCCATTTCTTTAATTAATATTAATTTTTTAATTTTGATTCATAAAATGATGATTACATAATGCATGCAGGCATGAGATTGTGGGTGTGGTGACAGAAGTAGGCACCAAAGTGGATAAATTCAAAATCGGAGACAAAGTTGGTGTTGGATGCTTGGTGGGATCGTGCAGATCATGCCAAAGCTGTGCTGATGATCTTGAAAACTACTGCCCAAAACAGATTCTCACTTATGGTTTCCCCTACCATGATGGTACACGGACATACGGTGGCTACTCCGATCACATGGTTGCAGATGAGCATTTCGTACTCCGTTGGCCGGAGAATTTGCCACTTGATTCTGGTGCTCCGTTGCTGTGTGCTGGAATCACAACTTATAGTCCTCTCAGATACTTTGGACTAGACAAGCCCGGTATGAAAGTGGGTGTGTTTGGTCTGGGTGGACTTGGCCATGTTGCTGTGAAGATGGCCAAGGCTTTTGGAGCCGAAGTTACTGTCTTCAGCACCACCGCTGCTAAGAAGGAAGATGCGCTTAAAGGACTGAAAGCTGACCATTTCATAAACAGCAAAGACCCTGAACAGATGAATGTGAGCCTGCCTGACTGCCTTAATTTCTTTTTCATATGAATTGATTTGCGATCATGTATATACATATATGATGGTTTTTGACTTTTTATGAATAGGGTGCAACGAGTACACTTGATGGTATTATTGATACGGTGTCTGCAACTCATGAAATTGTATCATTGCTTAATGCACTCAAACCCCATGGAAAGCTTGTTGTTGTTGGTGCACAAGCCAAACCATTTGAAGTCTCATCATATTCGTTGATTCCTGGTAATCCATCACTTTAGTCAACTGCTGAATCATTAATTTATTGCATGCTTTTAACTAGCTATATATAGCTTTTAAAATGGATGGGCTAAGAATAAATGTTGTTCGTATTGGAACCTCTTCTTCAAGGGCTTTTTTGAAAATTAATCTAAAGAGGTCCATTTATGAGTGCATGCAGGTAGGAGGGTTGTTGGTGGTAGTACTATTGGAGGGTTGAAAGAGACTCAAGAGATGCTTGATTTTGCGGCAAAACATGGCGTAACTGCAGATATAGAGGTTATACCGATCGATTACGTCAACACTGCCATGGATCGAATGTTGAAATCTGATGTAAGGTATCGATTTGTGATCGACGTCGCCAATTCACTCAAGGCCGAGGCTTAGTGTTATTGATTTGACAAATAAAGTTGGAAATGTTTTACGACCATCATTTAATAAGGAAGAGAGGAAGAGTAGTTTTAAACTTAAGGTTAAGGGGCCTGCAGGTATATGCATCTGTTGGTCATATATGGACCATCATACATGTTTTCTTTTCTCTGTTTTCGAATAAAGTTATTTCCTTGGAACCAGCCGATGAAAAAATTAGTGTGCAATCGTTTAACTACAAGCGCGTTGAATCGATGGCTTAATTAGTAGTCTTTAAACCTCAATTGTTAGTTACATATCTGTATTGATGAGCCATACTGTGGATCAATGGTCATCGAGTTCAATCTTACACGGTCTACAGTCTGAGATCACCGATAATCCTACATATACTCGTTCGCTATAGTATAAAGTATACCATAAAGTTAATGGCCGATGTCCAACTTCAAGAGCCCCACACCATAATGCCCTTGATGACCCAATACCTCTTTTCAGCTACAATACGAAAATGACAATCCCATCATAAACCAACAAAACCGATTCTTATATCCATTAATCCATTACATTGTAGTTTCATGTTCAATAGCATTAGAATGTTAAACCATAGCAACACATATAATTTCATGTGCAACAAGTGATTAAGTGGGCAACATTCCCATTTTAATGCAAAAGCAAAGCTTGTCAAAATCCTCAATATATATAAAGATGCCAAACACTCTATAAACCGAAACCATTCATTTTTGTAACATTCAATTAAAAGGGTTCCTACATTTATTTTGTGAAGGGAGGTAAAGACAACCGCCCAATTTCCCCAAATTTACTCAAAATGGAACTTAGGGACCGTTTACCAAATACTTATCCGGTAAGCATCCAGCAGTAAAATTCAACATTATTATTTACTTACCAGGTAAGATTTTAATCAACAAAAACGGCTTTCTATGCAACAATTTATCCGGTAAGAGTCATTACCCTCACTTACCATGTCGTTCGATTTTTTTGGGAATCGATGCTTTATGGAGGGCATATGATGAACAGGGAGGAGACGTCGTAGTGTACCGGAGTTGAGGGAGAAGGAAGGAACCCGTTGATCCATTTGTGAGACTGAGAGAGACAATCTATTTAAAATTGGAATATTAACCTAATTAAAGTAAATTGAATTCTCAATACAATTTTACTAATTTACCCTTCTACTTATTTTAAGAAATCATATTAATTATATTGAATGATTGGTTCATGTTAGATCTCACGGTTACCACAAACTAAACAATTTTCATTTGGTTAGGCCCCTATGTATGTATGTATATATATATATATATATATATATATATATATATATATGTATATAGGTGGAGGTTCAAACGAGAACCCCTGTGATTTACGAGAATGCGAGAATAACCCAATAACCTCAAACTTTTTTAATTAATAAATTAACTTTTATTATATATAAATAATTTAATAAGGACAATAATGTAATTAAGTAATTTTTATAATTTTTATTTTATTTTAATTAACCATAATTATCTTTTCACGTTCCACGTTTTACTCTTGGTAGTTATCTTCTTCTTCTCGTTAACATCTTTTCTTCATATCACACCTCTATCACATAAGTATCACACTCATATCATATGATTATCACACCCATATTATATGATTACACCAAAATTTTAACTTGTCAACCAAAACGATAACCCAAGTGATGTATAACAGTGATTATCACACCCTTATCACATGATTATCACACCCAAATCACATGATGACACCAAAATTTTAACTTATCAACCAAAACGTTAACCCAAGTGATGTATAATGGTGATTATCACACCCCTATCACACTCATATCACATGATTATCACACCCCTATCACATGATTACACCAAAATTTTAACTTATTAACCAAAACGATAACCCAAGTGATGCATAATGGTGATTATAACTCCCCTATCACATGATTATTACACCTATATCACATGATTATCACACCTAGTATAATCCTAACCTATTTCGTAACCGTTTTACTAGATAATGAGTGTTTAAAAGATAATGATCGTGTTTAAAAGATTTGATGATATCATTTCCATTATTACCCTTTTAATTTTAAATTTTTTTGAATCTTTTTAAATTTAAATTTTAAAAATCTTTTAATTTTATTTTTTATCACAATATGAGGTTATTGGGTTGTTCTTGCGTTCTTGTAAATCACAGGGGTTCTCGTTTGAACCCTTCCCTATGTATATATATATATATATATATATATGTGTGTGTGTGTGTGTGTGTGTATGCAAATTGAGAAAATTAATTGAATGCGATATACTTAAGATTTAAGAAACAAGTATAATTTGTACCAAATGGTTGATGATGAAAAAAAAAATTATAAGTAGACTAGAAACACAACATATATATTCAAGCTTAGGAGAATTCTTTGATGTACCAAAGGTATCAACCCGTATGGATTGAGTTGGCTTGAGATTTTTTCAAACCATAAGTATTTTGTTGTTCAAATGCATAAGCGACCCAGAAACATGCTTTTGCCGTTTTGTTCGCTTCGACCCCAATGCACATCTGACAATGCTTGGCTCCTCCATGTATGTTCGGAACTGAATTATCATTTACGGCTCATTATCTTGCCAGTTCATTCTTATTTGAAATCACACCAAATACAAGATACATGTGAAGCACATGTAATGACCTAAAAATCAATCAAAACCATGATAGTAACCATATAAGAAACAAGATACACATAATGGTGACATTACCATTGCATCTCTAGGTGTTTGAAATCTTTACAGACTCAGAGGCGTTTGGTTTGCAATATTATTTTTTATGGATTCGGATTTTATGAAGGGATTTAGATTTGTAGGATTTTGAATTGGAATGAATTTGGAATTCTGTTATGTGTTTGGTTTGTAGGATTTAGAATGGATTTGAATTTCATTCATTTATACATCATGTTTGGTTCGTAGGATTTCGATTGTGATTTAAATTTTCTTTTTGTAATTATTTGTTTGTTTATAAAGAATTTGTTTTTTTTTTGTTTAATTACCCACGGCTGGGGATGCAAAAAATAATTATAGAATATTTTCTGGTAGATTAGTGACAGATGAGGGTGTCCGCCAGTAATCCTTCGGATAAATGTTCACTAAAGAAAAACAAAAAAGACATGATTTTAGTATTACTGTCGGACACCCCTATCCGCCGAAAATACCAAATAAATGTTTTATTATCAAAAAGAAATAATAAAACATGATGTTGGTGTTACCAGCACACGCTCCCATCCTCCGGTTAATCATGTTTTTTCCTAATAATGAAACACTTTTGGTATAATTGGCGGATGGGGTGTCCCTGTTAATCCGGTGAATGGTGGTAATATTAAAATCATATTTTTTTTAGAATTAAAGAAATAATTAATTTCGATTGATTAAGATTACCAGCAGATTTTAATTAAAAATAATTAGTTACTTCTTAATTAATTAATAATAAAATTTACCTATATAAAAGGTAATTGGAATTTTTTTCATTTTCTTTTAAATAATCAGTGACGGTTTTGTGGCGGAAGTCAACGAAAGTTGACTTTTTCATGTTCACCGATGATCTGCGGGAAAAAGTCACATTTTTAGGAATGCTAGAGATCTCCACGTATACACACGTTAAAGAAGCGATGTGTTCTTTTATAAAATTCATCCGGATTGGGATGTGAAATACCAACCCTCTCCTAAGGATTTCCAAATCCATCAAATAAGGGATTTTAAATGAATCCTATGATTTCAAATCCGAGCAATCCTACAAACCAAACATAAGATTAGAATAGATTTAAGATCCAAATCCTCCCAAATCCATTACTATCCTGCAAACCAAACGGATCCCTAGCACTTACCCGGTAATAAGCACTTATCATATTATTTACCTTACAGGATGAACATAATAAGTACCAAGAATCTTATCCGGTAAGAATGATGACAAAGATTTGAGAGTCTTATCTGGTAAGTGAGGATATAAGGGTGACGACTCTTACCCGGTTATCGTTTACTGAGTAAATCATTGCATATAATATCGTTTTAATGTATTAGAATCTTATCTGATAAGGTAAGTGTAACACCCCCATTCCGAAGGAAGGGCGGTTACTTCAAAACGTAACAGAACCGCTATACAAACCTCCAAAATATAGTCTCCATTACAAAGAAATAAAATAAAATCTTCCAATAACGAAATTGAATATATCTACAAATAAGATATAAAGGTCTCCAAACAAACCACTTCCAAAATCCTCCAATAACCGAGGAAAATTCAAAAACAACTCTTAAAGAAAATATAATCTAATAGCCAAAAAGGAAATAAAATCCAATAAATGAATTAACATAACACTATAAGCCTCTTGAAATCCTTGGAACCAAGATTCTGGTCTACTCTCTGTCACAAAACCTAGCCGCTCCTTGATTACCTGCCGTGAGGAATAGAAGAAAACACGGCTGAGCCAAATGCCCAGTGAACGGATAAACAAATATAGAAAAACGGTAATACAAACATGCCAAAATTATTTCAAGATATCGAACCAAATAAGTACCAAAGTCTTAGAAAATCAACAAATAACATAATCATACAAAATCATATGAATGGACAAATCGAACTCGAAAACGCATACACTTGCATATTAACTAACATGACAAGTGTCAGACATATGGCCCACACAGGCATGTACGTTGGACTGCAGATCCACGCGTACCAAATGTGAGATGTGGCGTTGGACACTACACCGACATCCACCCTACAAACGAATCACATGTGCTAGGACCGACCCATACGCCTCCTAAATCAAATATCCATCACACCAAAATAGCTTTCACAGAGCACTAAAAGAGGAGACGTCGTGGACTAATCACACTGCCACGGTTAGTGTCACGCCATCGGTGCCACAATGACGTGCCTATGGTACCCCCATAGGTGGTTAGTAGCTCGAGTTACCCAGAGTTGAGTTGTCACAGCGAATGTGACGTTATACGTCTTACATATGGTCAATAAATAACGAAATCAAACGAAAAGTCAAACATAAGTCAAGTACAAAATTACGTTGAATAAACAAGTAGTCGTAATAATAAAGAGGCTCAATTCGAAGAATACATAATCGATCAATAGTACCAACATATGTACTTTTAGAGGTAGAAATCATATCAAAATGTTACCGAACAAATAAACGT